ATTAACAAGATGGCGGCTTAAGCATCTGCTTGTTATTCGGCTACTGAAAGTGCACCTAAGTTTTATTCTTTGCTATTGCCACAAATTACTTAACAATTGCAACTGTATAAAGACCAAACTTTCTTCATCTGATACTATATTTATAGGCACTTGTTATGAGTGGGAAATATTTTTCGTGCAATATTTATTCTCCACACACCACCTCGCGAGATCAACGTGTAGCTGGACACTTACACAGTGAGACCCTGCGACATAAAAGTTGCAATTTATCTTCATATTTCGTGTAGTTATGCATTTAAAAGCACTTACCTGTTTTTTGAAAACCTTGTCCAACGTAATATCATATAAATTCTGTACTTCTCTCATTTTTTAGAAACTTGGGACTCCGTTTCTGTTTCTGTCCTCAAAAATCAACAGACGAAGGCACAGATACTAACAAACGAGATTTAAACGAGATAGCAATTAAGCGTAACAGAGATAGGCATCCATTGTTCTCTGGGTTCTATTCATTCCGACCAATGAGAGACCGTAATACGGGCTCCGCCCCCACGCGTGTAATCTCCTTCTGTTATAACTCCTTGATATAATCAACTCACTGAAAAGTGCAGGTACTCAACAAGTGCACGAGACTTCAAGGTGAAAATTAACGCAATAGCTCAGAGTTGATGAAAGTGAATATAACACCACTTGCCTAAAACCCTGGTATATAGAAAGAAAAAAAATACTCGAATACGAAAACCAAAGTAGCGCCAACTGAGCCGTTCTGGTAATACTCATTTTCCTTGCCCTGATATGGACAAGCTCGCCGTAGCCGAGACAGACGCGGTTTGGTTGCAGTCCAAAAACGCTGCCCGAATACACAACTAAGGGGCTGTTTCTTTTTCTTAATTTGCTTGTATTTCTCGATTTTTTAAACCTTCCTGTCGGAAAAATACTTAACACTTTTCATGTAACACTTTTTCTGTGCATTTTGGCATTTCACATCTGCTAAAACGTTTTTCGTCGCGCAAGTAAAATTCAAAGTTACATCATTTGGAAATTCCTTTCTCGAACTTTCCCTTTCGATCACAATGTCAAACCCCATGACATAACATTGTAGAATAATCTTTTCTACGCCTGGAGACTAAAAAATTTCAGGCCAGCACCGTGTCAGCCTCTGACATAACTTCACATCTCACCTGACAACCGTTATGTATAGAAAATGAGCAAATCCTATCGTCAAACAGCGAAGTTCCGTGTGTCACCCAATATTACACGAATAGAATCGTTACATCTTTCTTTGAACTTGACTTTGAAGGGTGATGCTGTCTGCCATTTCTCTGTTTTGTTACATATAGCTTTGAAACTGAAGAGAAGCAGTTAGCCTGTCATTATAAAGCATTATACAATTACTGTAGATGAGCTGTGATTCTGTCACTGCACAGAACAATATTCAGAACTCAATTACGACAGATGTGAAGTAAACAGAATGAAAACCTAACTTTACAACAAAAGACAAAATGACTATAATCAGTAAAAATGTCTATATTTGTCAAGATAACTACATGGTCTGTGAGAGCAATTTTTGTTGTAACTGTAAAATGATATAATAATGTCACTGTAACGGTTTATTACCCTGTATATTCATGCACTAACTGTACACACTTGAGCCATGAGGTTCGCATTTTTTTTTTCTTTCTTTTTTGCATAATCTTAAGACTGGGGCTAGATCCGACGCTGCGGAATAGAAAAGACTCATCACATCATAATTTTTAGGATGATGAGTCTTACTGAATATTTGATATATATATATATATATATATATATATATATATATATATATATATATATATATATATATATTTATCCCTAAGGCCATAGCATTTAATACAGGCGACAATTTGATATATTGTTATTATTGTTAAAATGATTTGGATGGTGGGGTTATACAATTAAAGCGGCCTTGTTAGGTATTTCGAACAATCGATATTCTTCGTTGCCTTCTTTCTTGTTATGAATGGAACTGTGAAAGTTTGTGGTACACTGGGATGGAGGAGACATAAAATTTATTGTACCTATGCCTGGTCTTCCTACTGACCACCGCCCACCGACCAGTCAAGGTCAAATCCACCTTTCACACCTGTGTCTCAACGAAGTCACCCGTAAGCCACTTGCTTCGTTTTAAGAGTATTCACAGGGGAAGGGTGCAGGATTTGTCCTCCGCGCATTACTGGTTATCTCGCGGGTGACAAATTAAGGGGAGGCCCAGTAAAATTTGATATCTTTTCAGCGACAAAATATGCGATATTAAATACCCATTGATATTTGCCTATTGTAAAAAACATATGCGGATTTGTTACTGTATGTTATTCACCGTGGCAGATATTAGTCATGGTTTTGGGGATGTGCAATGGTGTGTAGGAATCACGTGCAAGACCCAGGTACGTAATTGTTTACCGATATGCTTGTGCTTGGACGTCTTGGAAATTGAAATGCCATTTGGAATTTTTTTTTTTTTTTTACGGAGCCGTAGGGACAAATCAGCCTCCGCGCTGGAAAATTAAGTCAAATTATTGATGCGCTTATCTAAATGAACATTTCTGACAAATTCTTCAAAGGTATTTTTATTTCGTAACTTTCAAGATATGCCTGTACTTTGCACACGTCGGTTAGAATAAATATGTCTTTACATTTTTTCTTTTGTTATTATTTTTTTATTTACTTATTTAATTTTTTGGTTGCTTTTACCTCCATTGTTTTAAAATTCCATATATTTCAGTTCTCAGTTTGCTCCTCCCCCTCCTTCGCTTAATACAGATGGACTTCAATATAAAACAGTTTAATTATTTGCAAGTTTTCAAAAGTTTTTCCATTCACATTTTTGCAAAACCGTAGCCAACCTCTGAATAAAGCCTGTCATAACATGAAAAACGTCACTATTGAACCGAACACCCCCAAACAATAAATAAATAAATAAATAATGCATTCGTCTTCATTTATATCGGACTGTGAAACGCACTTGTCCTAAGGCATGTTCGAGACTCCTAACAACGGGGAAATTTGCTTCCGTTTTAATCAGTGCTCCTCCTTATCTTTTGGGAAACAGCCATACCATCTATTATCTAACATTTTATCACTAAACTGGCCATATTAACTCGGCTTAGCACGGATGGATCGATTAGCACCTATTAATATTACATTATGAGCAGAGGAAGCGCGTCAGTATTCAAATGTCTGGGGTATAAACGCTTAATGTAATACGTAACATTAGTTTGTATATATTGAAATATTAGAACGTGTTATTGATAAATGGTAGGCCTACACTATGTAATACTTTGAACACAGCGATGAGGAGCTAGGTTTTTAAACAAATTATTAGTATTATTATTATTTACTCTTTTGTAATGATTACACGCAGAATATCAATCATTTATAAAAGGCAATAAGGACGGTCAATATTATAATTCTAAAACGCGCAGCTTTCCTTTTGAGAGTTTCAAATAGAACTACAGAGAGTGGAACCAGGTGACTGCATCTTTCAATGTATCTGACTATGCATATATGACATACCGAATATCTAAATCAGCGAAGAAAAAAAGTAGACGAAGACCTGAGCTGATCTGAACTGATGTCGGTACTGAATTCTGATCAAATCGTGAAGCGGAATAGATCTTGTTAACCGTTAAAACTAGGTCAGGCTCATCCACCGGTCTTTGTATCATTTGTTAAAAATCAATAACCAGAAGTACGCGAGTCCTGTACTATTTCGTGATGTGAACTTAACAGACACGTTACCCGGTTTACACTACTGTTTGTCGTCATCATAATCATATAAACAGATGTGGTGAGCAGTATTATATGGAAATTATCAACATGACGTTCTTTAGGTTTGTTGTCAGTACATATATGAGAGAGAGAGAGAGAGAGAGAGTCGAGAGAGAGAGAGAGGGAGAGAGAGGGAGGGAGATTCAAAAATAGAAACGGCTACAGCACGGCACTGAAGTATATAGAGAGAGAGAGGGTTGGCAGAAAGAAAAGACAGAGGTGGGCAGTTTAGGAACGGTCAGAAATCACCGTTCATCAGCATATAGCTTCTACGTGCATTCAGGGGTCGAAGTCAATGTCAAAACCAGACTGTGTGTCAAATGTTACCTTACATGTCTTATCGTGACCCCTTCTAAAAGGTCTCTGATAAATATTGCTGTCAACCTGCTATCAGTGATCAGAACGGCAAAGACCATATATAAGCTAAGCTTTGTATGGAGCAACTGCCTGTGAATGTGAACAGTAATCTGGTAACAGTGTGTAAAAGTGGTCCACTCACCGTTATTTTTTCCGTAACCCCAGGACGTCATCTCTTCTTCTTGTTCTCGATCAAAATGTGTCAGTTGCTTGTCGACTGAATTACCTCGGCCTTCAGTTTCCGTATGCGTGTTCAATAACCGCTTCGCCTAAAATACCAAACAACGCACATCAACATTGTAAAGATGCTGTAGAGGCCGAAAAATTGATTTCTTGGGCATTACTACGATGCATAAATAGACAATCGTCACAATATTTTGCCTTGCGGCTGCTAATACAATGATAACTGCTAGCCGGCGGATTCAATCAGTAAACTCTACAGCACACTGCTCCGATCGATAAAGTCGAACTTGATAGATACTCAAATATTAACAGAATCCTCTTCTTCAACTTCGTGAAAACTGGCCTTGACACCGGTAAGATGAAAAAAAAAGCTTGACGATCGATGGACAATAAATGATTTGTGAATAAGCCCTGATACCTGTTGAATGCAGCGCTCTTCGACTAGCGGTTGGCTCCCAAGTTATCGAAGTAATCACGTGTGCCGAGAGAGCGAGCTCTCGTGAGTTTATAACCCCATGATTTACCAGGCTTCGGCAACCTGAGCCGATCGCTGGAAGTTCATTGGTTGAGAGAACACGCACCGCTACTGGGCTCATTTGAGGGAAAGAAGGTGGTAACTAGGCAACCGAGCCTCTAATATTTATAAGAAAAACCCTGAACTCGTATCAGGATCAGCTATGATCGCTCCAGTTTTGCTTACTGCTGACTTTCAGCAAAATGAATTGATTACAGTAGTATGCATAAAAAAGACAGTAATAATATTAATAACATGAAAACAGTGACATAAATTTTGAATAGAGAATAACTTATCTGCATTTTCAAAAAATCAGGAATACACGAAAATACATCATGTTTTAATCCAGCAAACAGCATGTATGCTCTGCGTTCGTCTGAATTAAAACGAGTGTAATATTTTAGCATTGGCTTCTAATTTGTTAAATATATGAATATTAACACATATCACCTTGTTATAGTAGGCAAATGTATTCTAATGGACTGATGCTCCGGTTACATATTTCTACAGTATAACTGAGGCTAACGCCAAAAATGAAAAAAAAAAAAATTTATAACAACTTGTGCAGGAGAGGCCTAACTCAATGTAGATAACCTAGTACCGATTGTCTCTCTTAATTGCCGAGAAAAGAATTAAATCATTGTACGGGCTGGGTAGTACATGTAAAAGAAAGCCATTATAAGTATTATAAATACTTGGTATGTATCAGTATTATTGAATGCAGATTACCTGAGGCGGTCATGAGTTTTACTGTATCACTGCTATCTTTGTGGCGGTTATCGATGATATCATGTGTATATTTGCTGGACATTTTAGGACAGTCGAATAAATTTATATAGGTCTATGTATGATACATCTTGTAAAACGTTTCAGTACCGATAAGGCGTAATATACTGATCGTGCTTATCCATACCTCGTGTTATTTATATTCGCTTTTCCGATGGTTTCACACCATCTGTTTATTCTTTCCTTGAGCAAAATAAGTGTCTAATTAGCTTTATTGGGTCTTACGTAAAAACACTGAAAAAAAAAGCATTTACATGATCAAGTCAGCAGAGAAGCTAGACGAAATTACCGAACCAAGGTATTCAAAGCATCAATGCAAGGTGAACTTTCTTTCAACAGAATAAGGGCGTGTGGTGCCAAAGATATTTACTGGGATATAATATATACATAACAGACAAGCTACATCACATTACCACATAATAAAACTGTGTAAAATCTTTAACAGAAGTGACTCGTTCTAAAAAAAAAAAAGACATTCATATTACGCGTGATGAACTGCCATGCGGGTTTCATATAAGCTCATACATATAATACATTATACACATATTCAGTAGAACACTGGGTTCATTCGGAACAAAATAAACTAGATAGCTAAATGAAATGTTTCGTAGTCTGTCAGACTCTGCTATAAGTGTCCGTCATCTCGTTGTAGTAGTATTATTGGTTGTTATTGGAATTGTTTTGATGGGTGCGGGTTGTATTTATTTATTTATTTATCTTATTATTATTATTATTATTATTATTATTATTTGCTTATCGTTTTCTTATTATCCTTGCATGCTAGAAAAATTAAAAACACAGCACCAATAACGGGCTATAAGCATACGGCACGAACCGCTCACTACCCGATACGGAAATTCGTGAATCGTCTAGTGGCACATGCCTGACGCTGAGTGCAAGCGCCCTTATCGACGTTGCTGACACCGTCAGCCGTATTTGGAGTTAACGCAATCCACAGTAGTTTGGCGAACTATACTTGGGATCAAGTTAAAGGCAAAGCACATAAGTTCACAATGTGTCGGCTAAAGATAGTGCGTCAGACAGCGTGGCGATTGACCTGCTTTTGTTTTATCATATGTATCACCGTGATATATATATTTAAATATATAAGCCTAATCCGGCAGTGCCTGAAGCGAAGGCGTGAACGGGACGGCGTATCAAACTGTATTCTTTCTTTATTCAGCTCATCATTTTGGTACATGTAGATGTACTTTATTCAAAATGAATACGACCTAAGACAAATTTTATTTTACAATACACTTACTCTTTTAAAATCATAATTTATATATTTATTTTGTATTGCACAATAACTTATGTGCAGTAAACTCCCAAAGAAACGACATGCCTTATTTAATTTAAAATTAAAAATGCTAATTTTTAAAAATCCCATATGGAGATTATGTAATTCCAAAATTTGCTTACTTTTTTTAAAAGCAAACTTGTTGTTTGCTTGTTTGTCAACATTTGTTTATGTAATATTGGGGGCAAGATAGGAATCTAACAGCTAAAAGGAGAAAATGTCGGATTACAAAACCAAAAACAACGTATACTAGCAGAGCAGGAAGTCTTACCCAATATTTTGAAGGGAGGATCTAGACCGTTTTGTTGAACCACAGGAGAAGCGCCTTGTTTAACAGTTTTGTCATCAGTTGTAGGTTATTGTGTCACTGCAACCACCCTTAGTGAAGTTGAACAAATACACAACACAATTTTTGGTCGATTTCAATAGAATTTTTGCTGTTTTTATCTAACCAATTGTATTAGATTACCGGTCACTCAACGGTCACTGATATATGAAACAGTTTAACTGATATTTATTGGTCAGTCTCTTTCTCTGCGATGTCNATTTCTAACAACCAACCCATGCCAATTTTGATTTTAGCAGAAAAACTACACCCCAAGGCTTATTGTGCTCTAGACATTATTAACGCTATAATGCACTATTTTAATAAAGATTATCAATTTTATAGCTAATTTGCAGACCTATTTCGAAAAGTATCATTGACATGAACGATAAAAGGTGACATTTTACGCTATGCGTTCGTTACGACTCCATACACCTTTAAAACTTATTTTCGCTTTTCTAATTTGATCACTCAATTTGAGGTTGATTAATAGTTGCCCTTTGCTTTGATCCTTTTAAAAGACCGGCTAAATTTTTCGTTTTGCACAAATTTTACTGCGTGATAAAGAATGCAAAGTAACACTAATATACACCGATCGACATCACATAAGCAATGCAAAAGAAGATTGAAAAAAGTGACATCTTGAAAATGAGGAAGCTAAAATGCATTGTTTTATGTGTCAAGGAAGTTGATTCATCTGAGCAACTGGCAGTATTGATTGTCAATCAAAACTTCACACAATGTACGTTTGATTAAAAAAAATCCCACAATATTTCACCTTTGTAGATACCATGATCTTTTTAAGTTTTTATGTTGGCATGTTTCATAATTAGACTTTCAAACACAGAAAAGACACAAAAGCTTCTAGATGAACATGTATATGCAGAAATTCTTAGCACCTAAGTTTTCAGTGCATTTAGTAGGTAAGTTTTACATTAAAATAAAAAAGTGTGGGCGTGTGTGTGAATACAGCCAAATGATCAAAAAAGTTGATGCACGGGATTTCTTTGTTCATTCATAGATGGTTGCAACAGTCACACCGTCTGATAATGTCTGATAATGTTTGATGTTCGGATTTACTACTGGACGCCATCTGTATGTAAACTCATGAGTATTGTGGGTTTCTAGGAATAGGCCGATTTGGTAATTAATTGATATTGGGAGCAAATACGCCGTAAAATATTATCTGAAAATCAAAATTGAATAACAGTCTCTTAGCACGTGAGTTTCAGTGCATACGATCAATTTCTTTTTACGTGTTTATCTTTGTTCATTGTTATTTTTCTCAGAAAATTGACACAGTAGATAAATGATGGGTCTAACAGGAAATATGGAGGAAAGAGTAGTAAATTACTATGAATAATGTTTTGAAGCGATGCTTCCTTACGAGCGGTTTATCCCGGGAAAAAGTACAACCATGCTATCAATACAGCATCGAAAAACGTGAAGAATTAGCAGTGTGTAAATGTATGACTCAGCATCTGTCATATTAGCCGATGGTTAGACCTATTTGCTGTTTATTTTTTATAAGGCCAATTATTTGGGGAAATCAATGATTGTGGTGAGATGGCTTTAGGTATATCATGTTTTCTTCCTTTCTTTTTGAAGTTGTATATTTTGCAAAATGATTTAAACAGGAAACAGATAAAAGAAGCCAACTTACATAACCTATCACCAATCACGCATCTGAAAAAGGTAGTTTCTGATAGTAGTGGTGTTGATAATCCACAACCATTATTTGAGATATATGTATATGCTAACAGATACATTATATGATCTCATTCGATGTCGAACTAAACCGCGTTCGTGCCGTGAAGTGTCCTTTATAGTAACGAGTTGTGACGATTAATCGGGCAGAAGCAAGTGCTTAATTTCCCCGACCAATCACTGAGGTTCACTCGAGGAATTAAGCAAAATGCAATCAATATTCAAAACGTCAGGCTTGAAATGTCATTTCGTCTCTGCCAACTCCGACGGAAGCGCTTCCCTACTGAGATTACCTCAAACCATTATTTCATAAAACTGTTGGATGAAAAAACTGGGAATTCTGAACGGAAACCTGGAGAATTGATGACGTTATTAAGGTCTCGTGAAAGTGCTATAAATTCGAGTGGAGAATCGTTTTTAGGTAAACGTTTGGTACTTACACTGGAAGAAAGTTTGTGACAGATTGTTGTGTAAGCATCATAGATTAATAGCAGTGGAACTATTCTCAATACTGCAGCATACAATAATACAGGCTATATACAGGATGATAAGTAAACCATTTGAAAAAAATTGGGACAATAATTGTTTCAGATTATTATTATTTTTTACTTCATCTTATTATATTATATTATTATTTTTCTGTCTTTTTTATTCATTGTTTCCTTTCAGAATGGACTCTACACTCTTCAACAGCAGCGTTGTTTTCAACGAGGTTCCAAACATCACCCTGTCTCCCAACCAGTCTGTCGCTAATGCCTCGACTGCAGCGGAAGCAATGTCCAAAGCTAACAAGGAAACTATGTTCTATGTGAACACCTTAGCTGGGGGATCACTGAGCGTGTTCGGAATCCTTGGTAACATTCTGGTTGTAACCGTGTTAACTCTAGACAAGCCAGTTACGTCCACCTCCATAATGCTACGGGGACTTGCGATATCCGACACTCTTTTCTTAGTAACCACATTCCTTTATAAACCCATGCTTGGTATATACGTCCATCTTGGAGAGGCCGAATTTTACGCCAAATATACCTATACATGCCTGATACAGTATCTTAGACCAATTATGTATAGCTTACAGCATATAAGCACATGGATCGTGGTCGCCGTAGCCGTGGACCGATATTTCGCTGTGTGTCGCCCACTGCAGAACCTTAGCCGGCGCTATGCCAATCGCATACGCCCCTGTCTCACTTTGTTGGCCGTCTACCTTGGCTGTTTTATTTTTAACATTCCGCGCTTCTTTGAATATGAAACAACGGTGATACAATACAAGAACAGAACCATGTGCAGTCCCAAGGAAAATCAAAGTGTCAGACAGAACAAATTTTTCATCATCTTTTATTGCTGGATTTTATATTTTCTGATAATGTACATAATCCCCATAGTTACAGTGACTGTCATTAATGTGAAGCTGATCCTGTCACTACGTCAGGCACGTAAGCAGAGAGCAAATTTGAGGGGACACGCACCGCACGCGGAACGCGAGGAAAACACCACCCGCTTGCTTATCATTGTGGTCCTGGTATTCATTGGGTGTCAGACACCAGATTTTGTATTGCAAGTAATATATTTTATCAACGTTATCAATCCGTTGAACATTAAGTCGGCTCTTGGGGTGTTCAGCAAAGTTACAGACACGTTGCTCACGTTTAACGCAGCGGTGAACTTTCTCATCTACTGTGCAATAGGAACAAATTTCCGGAAAACTCTTACGGATCTTCTGATGTGTAAGATTAAGACAAGAAAGCGCAAACCGCATTTTTTATTAAAGAATAAACTTTCATCTAAAGAATCCACCGTCAGTACCACCTGGCCAAGCTCCCCCACCTGCCACATGCCGTCATCAAGAAAGAGCAGTAACAACACTAGCAAAGATGTCTCTGAAGTCTACGTACAAAACCGATCGAAGTGAAAAACTGTAGGAGAAGTGACGAAATGTTGGAGAATGGATGAAAAAAGTTAAACGAGAAAAGTGCGAGTTGATGGTGCAGTTGGTGAAAGAATAATTTATTAAAATTATTTTTAGGCCTATAAATATTTATTGTCACTATACCCCGCTGTATCTCTTGCATTCGATAGTGGAGAGAGATTCTGACAGTTATGAAATAATGTTGAGCTTTTGACATTTAGATAATAAAAAACGCACAATACAAAGTATTGAAAATACTTTTCAATTTACTCGACACTGTGTGTATTTAACATATATGAGTATACCCTCTTAGTATTATGTGAGCATGACGTCATGGGTTGCATGCATTCCATATAACAAAAAACATGTTCAGTAAATTAAGTTGTAATATATTTTAGACATATCTCATAGGTGAAACGTTTCTTGGTTACTTTATTGACTTTATATTGTAAACAAAATAAATCACAATTTGAACAGTAACCTCCTATTGGTAGGTGTGATATTCTTGCCAACGGCATCACTAGGAACATTATCGAACAAGCTTCTTTTTTTATTTCCAGACGTAAAATAACTAAGCTATTGATTGCAGTCTATAACACCCTCCAAAAATTGAACACAAAAACAACTTCATAGTAATATGATCCTATAATTTCCGAGTAAATCGGTGTACGTGAACGTGCCGAATCTTGGACACTCACAGGTGAAACTGCTTGCGTAACTCTTAGAGGATTGAGCCGTGAGCTGCGGCAGCATTTAGAATCAATAACATTTTTCATTGTCTCTCACGATTAATTAATTAATTTTGGAGACGGAAAAGCACTGCTAACCTTAGAAGTAAATAACCAAGGCCTAAAAACCTCATTTAGCAAATTGGCACGATTCCCATTATACAGTAAGTGTTCCAAAAAAGTGATTCCATTAACCTCTGTGATATATGATATGATATATGATATATTTGAGATGTAATAATAATAAGAAGAAAAAGAAATACAACAACAAGACAACATAATTTTCAAAAGTGAAAAAACGCGACAACAATTATCTTTACCAATAAGAAGGAGCAGATACAGCAAAAGCCAGAAGCGTTTCGATTTGATAGATATTGCATAACAGAAAACGCAAGGCAGCAATGAGTGGCGAAAGTTTTTTTGTGGTTCACAATAACGGCTGCAAAGGGCGACCTGACGAGTCTGTCATGCACAACAACCATCGCATTAGTTTAACTAGTCATCCAACATAACGCGTATTGGTAATGTATTTCATCGCAATGCCAAGAAAATGTTATGTATAATTTTCGAAGAATCGCTTAATGAGAGAGAACATGCTACACATTAAACTCTAACAACCATAAAGAGATTGAATAGAGTAATAATTTCCAATGAAATTCACCCTTCAACTACTACATTCTTTTGCGTAAATAAAACATTTACCGTGTATGCTACCTCATAAACAAATAAGCAAATGTCCTTTGAAACACTCATAAGAGAAGTAGATACCACAGACGCGACAGAAATTGCATTGCTTTTAAGCAATTGCAAAATTCATTTCTGGAAAAAAAGCACCACTCCTCCGCTTTTTTAAACGATGTTCATGGTAAACTTTATTTCAGCTACCCCCCCCATATATATATATATATATATATATATATATATATATATATATATATATATATATATATATATATATATATTATAACCGATATATATATATATTAAAACCGATTTAGAACAGATTGTGAACACTAAGAACCTGCCGTTTTCAATATTTCAGTCGGTGAGGATGCCTCGAACCTCGAGTGCTAGCAGAAATAGAAACAAATGTTAAAAATCTGGCCAGGAAGCATTTTTACAATTTCTAATCCTATCGCTAGGCGCATGAAATTGGATGAAAAAAACGGACCAGCTTTTGTGTGATTATTCGGAGTAGCGTATTTCCCCCCATCAACGGAAGGAGTAATTATTGTAGACAATACCCATTGATCCTTACAATTGGTTCTGCCCTACACCCCATGGAAATCACAGAAGAAACTTCATACACATCCTTATTTTAGGACACGATTAGGATTCATGATGTCAATATTGATAAAGCAACAGTTTATTTTCCCGGTGGAATGCAGTGCAACTTTACATTAACTAGGTACAGCTCAGATATGCTTCTTGTTTGATTTAAGTGAGCCTTTGAGAGTATACAATATGATTTCAACTACAAAAGTTTTTTCTAATCAATAACGCAAATTGGATTGGATATAACTAAAAAAGTAAAGTCAGTCAAATTATCAGACCGCAAAGCCCATCTTAATTAATCGCATTTTTTCCATTTGCTTGTGAAACTTGGTTGCTTTAAAGTTCATTAGTTAATTGCACTTTTATAACCATTACAGCATTTTAAAGACTGTAGGGTTTTTGCCAAGTGAAGGATATTTAATATTTATATATAACATGAAAAGAACATATGCTAATAACTTACACCAAATATCTAACTTTATTAGATCTCAGAACCAGGCAACATTATTACAAAGATGGAGGCATGTTTGACTGGTTTTGCTGCTGCTTTATGTTAAAACGTGCTGGTTTCTGGAAAGGCCATCAGATACTGACTTGTTCACATTGGTCAAACATGTTATGCCATAATCACGAAACACTCCAACAAATGACTTAATGCACTCTATGAAGCAACAACAGATGATCCAATTATCCTCCACTTTCAACATACTGTTGCAAATGCAGTCAAGATAACGATGTTTCACCGAATTACATCACCTTAGATTAATGGGCATCTGTCTCTTTCATGCATATATAAACTTAACAAATTAAGTAATGGAATGGAAGGCTCTGGCTATATCTGGGTCAGTTCAATGTATGTTATGTACGAAGACAGGTAAAGGCCCTACTTAATCACCAGAGAAAACACCATATTGTTTCCATTTTCATATAATCAGTGACTTTTCCACATTTGTGAAATGATAATGAATCAAACACATTCAGATCCTACATAAATGAAAAGACCATTTCCTATTTTATCATTCAACATCCTCTTTGCCCTCCATCTGCACAGGTTCTGTTAATGTAAAATAATAATAATTACACTCCATAGACAATAACAGAGCTTGTGAATGTATCCGTAATGTTTTAAGTAACATTCGATGAGTTGTAAAATGTGGACATCAAGTGCCATCCTCAGTGTTGCTGGAAGTGGACTGATTAGTATCATTACTTTTGAATGGTTTCTTGGTTGAAGTACTGGCTGTTGTGTTATCTGAAACCTGTACTATAGACTGCAGTCGAGAGAGGTGGACCATGGCTCTGGAATGGAAAGATGATAAACTTTATTAAATATAAAGCATTGAAAGTGATCTTATATCCATGTACGTGAGGTCTGATAAAACTCAATATTGGCCTCTGACATATTCACCAAACATATAATCAAGAAGTTATAACTTCTTGATATAATGTAAGATGCAATTTGTGGTCTTTGACCAAAGAGTGTGAAGGAAACATTATCAATCAGACAATTGACCAATGACATTCAGCTTTTAAATTATATAATAAAATAATTATTGACATTCGCTTACAGCCAAAGTCAATTATTGTATTGAATAAAATTTTTACAATGCTAAAAACAACCTTTATTTTTTGTAAAAGATCTTTAGTGTACAAAATCAAAAGAGAGAGATAGAAACCAGAAATGAAATTTTAACAATATCTTAATACATGTAAATGAGACATATAAATAACCAAAACTGATCAACTTAAGAGAATATCATGGTTTTATGCCATAAGAAAATGGTATCATTACTAACTTCTACCTGNGATGAAATTATGCCTTTTGTATAAAAGTCGTTTTTCTTCAGATTTAATTCTTAGACATGTTAACAGACTCATCATTGATCTAAACAGCCACGTAAAAGTGTTCTAACATTTTCTGCATCTTAACAATACTGTTGGTTGATTACATAAAATGATGGTACACCTGTTATCATGTATTGTGTAATAAAGCGTCAAAAATGAAAATAAACTCATATCATTGAGGTTTGTCAGATTCAATCATTTACTATGTTCAGAATATCAGAATGGAGTAAATATGGACATTTAAAATCGCGCTATTGATAATTTTCGTATGTCAATAATTTTCTTAGTTGATCATTAAAAAATGACAGTAAATTGATTATTGTATTTTGTGTAAAAAAGGTGTTAAAATGGAAATTAACTCATTTCAGTACAGTTATATCTTGTATACAATTTGGCATTTTCAAGGTTTGACTCTAAACTTCTATGGCCTTGAAGACTTTTGCTAGTCACATTTTCTGCATATCCATGATACTTTTATTTTCTCATTAAAGATTGATGATCATTATGCTGTTAAGCATTATGTAATATTGCATCAAATTAAAAAAAAGCCTGTTTTTGGCACTGCCTCCATAGTGACCATTAAAGCAAAACCTCGTCACTTACTCTTTTCCCACTTTCAGAAAAGAAACATAGGACTTAAATACAGCTTCAAATGGAAAATATGTCTTATTGGCTAATTCTTCTGGAAGTTATACATTTTTTGTGAAAATTTAATTTTTCACATATCGACATTTTCAAGGTTTGGCTTTGAACCTCCATAGTCTTAAAGACCTTTGCTAGTCACATTTTCTGAATATCCATGATACTAATATTTTATTATTAAAAATTGATGGTCATTATGCTGTTAAGCATTATGTAACATTGCATCAAAATGAAGACCCCCCCCCCCCTTTTGGGCACTGCCTCCATAGTCACCATTAGACGAAAACCATGTCACTTATTCTGCTTTAACTCACAGAAAAGTAGCATAGGACTAAAGCCTAGATTACATTTACACGGCCGCCGTGCGATGAAATTGTCCTACGACTTTTTTGAAATCGTAAGGAGTTACGCCGAATATACATGTATATACAGGGTAACTACTTAATATGGAATATTTTTATCATTGTTATTTTTGAGTGCCGATTAAAGTTTTTTTGGCTTTATTCATCAAAAAAGTATGTCATTGAAAAATATCCAGTCTTCTATTGTGAGATATTTTGGTCAATAATATCAAATGTGACATAAGACGTCATTCAAAAGAAAAGAACACCCCCAGAAAAC